TGAACCTGGGAAGTTAAGGCAAGAAGAATCGCTCCAAGTTCGAGCCTGCTGGGGCTACACAGGGAGTCTGTTTCACAAAGCCAAAGCAAACTTTATCTTCCTTTTCAGAAAGTCACCCTTCACCTAATGGAGTAGAAGCTTTCCCAAATGGGCCAGACTTCCAGGGCTCTGGAGAAATCACCCTCATATTTATTGTAAAAACTTTAAATCCGTAGTTGGGAGAACATCAGCTTGTGTTTGATATGCCAGTTTCCAAATCGTTTCCTTTGTGCCTCACCCCACCCCATATCTATGTGCACCAGGCTGGCCTCAAACTCACAAGAGATCTGCCTGTCTCTGCCTCCCGAGTGCTGGCATTAATGGCACTTGAAATGGCAGCTAGGGCTTCCATTCAATCAGCATCTCCAAGGTTTAGGTGTTAGATATTTGCTGTTCTTCTCACACCTCCCCCCAAATAAACCCAAAGGAAACACAATGGGGTTTCTAAACATAAAGGCAGTAGAACTAAACTACTTCTCTAGGCTTGTTCTTTTTCATGGAATGTTTAAAGAATCCTGTGTACCAGCCTCAGTGTTTAGATTCCAGGCAGGAGGTCTGACGGGTGTTGCAAGGCTGCAGCTTATTTATTCTTCTCATACATTACATCCCAACTGCAGCCTCCCCTCCCTGCACCTCCCAGCCCCCTGCCACACCACTCTGCTCTCCCAGACCCACTGCTCCTATTTTCCTCCCAGGGATACCAGCCGAGCAAGGCTTAACAAGAAGCAATAAGACTAGGCGCAACCCCTCATACCACAATCCCTCACGCCAAGGCTGGGCGAGGTGACCCAGAATGAGGAAGAGGGACCCAAGAGCATGCAAGAGTGACACCCCCCCCCAACTCCCACTGTTAGGAGTTCCACAAGAACACCAAACTAACAACCATAACATATATGCAGGGGAACTAGCACAGACCCATGCAGGCACCGTTTGTCACCAGTCCATAAGCTGTGAGCCCTGCTTAGCTGATTCTGTTTACTTGGTGTCCTTGACCCCTCTGGCTCCTACAATCCTTTCCCCTTCTTTCATGGGGTTCCCCGGAGCTCTGCCTAAGTTTGGCTGTGGGTCTCTGCATCTGCTGTGGGAGGAAGCCTGTCTAATGACAATTAGTCTAGGCACTGATCTATAACAGAGTATCATTAGGAATCCTCTCTCTCTCTCTCTCTCTCTCTCTCTCTCTCTCTCTCTCTCTCTCTCTCTCTCTCTCTGGTCTCTGAGCTATCTAGCCTTGGGTTCCTGGTCATCCATCTAGGCAGTGTCAGGCATGGGCTCCCTTTCATGGAGTGGACCTCAGAGTAGACCAGTCATTGGTTGGTTGACCACTCCCACAAGTTCTGTGCCTCTGTCCTCACCCCACCCCCAGCAGAAGGATAAGATTATAGGTGGAAGGTTTTGTGGCTGGGTTGGTGTCCAGTCCCACCATCAGAAGTTGCATGGTTAAAGGTAGCCAGTTAATGCTCCATATCCTCCATTACTGGGAGTTTATGCGCCATATCCTCCATTACTGGGAGTTTATGCTAGGGTCACCCTCACAGTTTCTACTGCACTAGGTTTCCACATCTCCCCTCAAATGCCCTCCAATCCCAGTACTCTCTTCCTGTACTCACACTCCATTTCCCTGGCTCCAGGCAGATCCCTATTCTTATTCCCACGTGCAAAATCTATTTGATTTCCCCTTCCCAGAGAGATCCATGCCCTTTAGAACTCTCCTTGTTACCTTTCTGGGTCTATGGGTTGTAGTATGGTTATCATTTACTTAACAGCTAATATCCAATTATAAGTGAGTATATACCATTTTTGTCTTTCTAAGTTGGATTACCTCACTCAGATTTCTTTTTCCTGATTCTATTTGCCTGTAAATTTCACCATGTTATTTTCTTCTAACAGCTGAGTAATACTACATTGTGCAAATGTACTACAATTTCTTTATCCACTTGTTGTTTGAGGGACATCTAGGTTGTGTCCAGTTTCTTGCTATTATATTTAAAGATGCTACGAACATCGTTGAGCAAGTGTCTCTGTGGCACAATGAACCATCCTTTTGGTATGTGCCTGAAGAGGTCAAAGACAACTTAACCAGACTATCACCATGACTAGCTTTACAGACCCCCAGCCATTGAAGTAGGAATAAGTTTCACTTTACAGTAGGCAACCATAAATTGGCATTACCCAGGAATAGACTGATCAGCATTTCATGGGAAAATACCTAAAGTTCCAACTGTTAAAGTAAGAGCACCAGATGTCTCTAAGCCCAGCACACACCTATCCCCTTTCGCCAAAACACACCCCTAGGCAAATGTCAACCAATCAAGTGTCCTAAAAGATGAAAACCCCCTCACCTCAACCCCTGCTATGATAAAAACAAAACAAAACAAAACAAAAAAAGAAACCTACCCCAACTGGGCTTTCTAGGCCCTCTGAGGGCCCAAGCTCAAGCTTGAATAAAGGCTCTTTGATTTTGCATATGAATTCGGACTCCTTGGTGATCTTTGGGGTTATCTTGAGACTTGGACATAACATGCCCAAGTGGTATAGCTGGTAGATTGGGTCTCAGTTTTCTGAGCCAGCAAGAACAGTCACTGGTGTTTGTTTTTTGAGACAGGGTTTCTCTGTGTAGCCCTGGACTGTTCTGGAACTACTTCTGTAGACCAGGCTGGCCCCAGATTCAGAGATCCACCCGCCTCTGCCTCCCAGGTGCTGGGAGGTGTGCACCACGATGCCTGATTGGCCTCCATTTCTAAATTGTAAGGGCTTGTTATGTCTAGTTTCTTGAGTTTTTTTTAAATATATTTTGGATATTAGCCATCTATTATATGCAGAATTGATGAAAGCCTTTTCCCATTCTATAGGCTACCATTTTGTCCTACTGAGTAGTCCTATTTATTGATCTTATTACCTGCATTATCAATGTTTTCAGTTCAGGGGGTGGTGTCCTGTGCTAATGTGTTCAAGGCCATTCCCCATTTTCTCTTCTATCAGGTTCAATTATCTGGATTTATATCTTTGGTCCACTTGGACTTGAGTTTTGTTCAAGGTCATAGATATGATCTATCTGCATTCTTCTACATGCAGACAAGTTAGACCAGCACCATTTGTTGAAGATGCTTTTTTTTTTTTTTTTTTTTTTTTTTAAATTGTATCCTTTTGGCTTATCAAAAAATTGGGTGTCCATAGGTGTGTGGATTTATATCTCGGTGTTCAATTCATCCCACTGATCAACATGTCTGTTTTTATGCTGACACTATCCCGTTTTTATTACTATAACTCTGTATTACAGCTTGAAGTCAGAGCTCAGGATTGTTTTAGCTATCTTTTTTTTATTCCCCCATATGAAGTTGAGTATTATCCTTTCAGGGTCTGTATAGAACTGTGCTGGGATTCTGATGGGGAATAACGGGGACTGCTTTTCATCTTTAGCTGATAGGATAGCCAATTTTACTATGTTGATCCTATCAATTCATGAAAGGCAGCAACTTATAATTTATAGAACTTGGAGAATTCGTAATACACCAATGAAGAAAGGGCTAATAGCAGTTTTGTTATGAAGGTATTTATACGAATAAAATCCAAAGGGCAATTTTTCAGACCTCAATTACGTGAGCTGATGATAATGAATGGCAGCAATGAACACTATGCTCTCACAACGAACCCATACTCCTACACTAGTGAAGCTATAAGGGCCTCTAGTCTTCTCTAGATGTTTCCAAAATGGGGAGATTTGGTGTGGGTGGAAGATGGGCAGAGTATTGCGAAGTATGGTCACTGTATCAAGCGATGGCCTTTCCTTCATCCTGAGATCTTAAAGTACAGTGACTTGAGGGGAAAGACTGCCATCTTTCTCTAAGAGTCCACCTCGATTCATGCAATGACTGTGTCCACACTCCCACAAGAACAATATTCTACAAACACAGAAATAAAAAAGACCCACACAATCCCCAAAGACACACAGTTTTCATTGTCAACTTGATACAACCTAAAGTTAATTGGGAACAGTGCCTCAATGAGGTTGGCCTGTGGGCATGTCTGGTGGATTGTCTTGATACGTGATGTAGGAAGACCTAGCTAACTGTAGGCAGCACCCTTCCCTAGCAAGGAAATGCTGAACAATATGGGAGGCAAAGATACAGTTCTCTCCTTGCTCTTAACTATGGGTGTGATATAACTAGCTGTTTGAGTTTCAGTCTTTTCCCAAAATGATTGACTGCAACCTAGAATTGTAAGCCAAATAAGCCCTTTCCTCCTTTGTGTTGCTTTTTGTCAGGGTCTTTGTCACAGTAAAAGAAATGAAACTAGAATAATAAAGTCAACCAGAGAAGTCTTGGAAAGTGTTGAGGTACTGTTATTTTTATCCTGGTCCTTATACGACAAAAATTTTTTGTTCACAGATAATAACCAGCAATGTGTGCTAATTATATGATTCTCCATAACCTTAAAGAAGTTACATAAAACATTTCCACCTAAAGTTTATAGAACTCTAAATAATTATATCATTTCAGAATCCCAAAGCTGTAAAGAGCCCTACTGACAGCCTGGTCAAATTCATTCACATTAAATAACTGACCTCAAAACTTTTGGCTTATTGGTAAGGATGGAACTCTGTATGCCATTATTTGGACTGAGCTTTGGGTGTCGGTGTGTGTGTGTGTACAAAGGGCAGAGGACAAGCTTGGTTTTCATTTTTCAGATGCTGCTCGCCATGTTTTTTGAAACAGGTTCTCTTGTTTGAGCATGCCACCAGGCCTGACATTTTTTATTAAAGATTGGCGGGTGTGAGGGACCAAAGTCAATGCCCACCATTTGCACTTTATCAACTGAGCTACCCAGTGCCTGAGCTGAACTTTTAAAATGACTAATTTACTTCACTTAGAAATAAATCCTGCATATTTAGTATGCTACACTATCTTTTTGTAAAATTATATTACAAAGGCAATGTTCATCTTTAAGTAGCCTACCAGGCAGCATGATATATCACAACCATTTTATTAATATGACGCAGTGGGGTAAACCTTTAACAGGAGTACTGCATATGAGCATATGTGATACTTTGATATAGTATCAGGTTTGATTCAGTCAATTCTGTCATTTACTTTCACTTCTATATCTATAAAAAAAAAAACATTTATACTCAAGCGGTTGAGAGAATGGCACATAGCCATGCTTATCTTCGTTCTAGTTTAAACGCATGTAAATGACCTCATGGACATTACATTTTCACCATACAAGTAATTCATAATTAAGGAAGGGAAGGAAGGAAGGAAGGAAGAAAGGAAGGAAGGAGGGAAGGAAGGGAGGAGGGAAGGAAGGAAGGGAGAGAGGGAGGGAGGGAAGAAGGAAACAAGCAGCAAGACGGCAGGGTAGTACAAAAGACCTTTTCACAAGGCCCCCTCTGCAGAAATGTTTGAGAAGACAGTCCTATAATGAGACTGTAATCAGGCACATCCCACAAGGACATGACGGTGACCCACTCTCTTGGAGAGTTTCTGATCTTATCAAGAGTAGAATTACTGGGAGGGAATTGCAGAGATTCTACGAGACTCTCCTAGAGATTACTTTGAACATACTCAAACCTGTAAAGACTACAGTAAGGACAACGTGACACTGAATGATTTCCTGAAGAAATGCGTGTCCAGAAAGACACAATAATATGATCAAGTGCTGTTGTAGCTTTTGTTGCTGTTCTGTTAAAAACAGAGGCCAAGAAAGAAGAAAAATGTAGCATTATGAAAACATAAGGAAACACTCTTGAAGAAGAAACACTTCACACAGAAGTTTTAAATGTTATCTAATAAATTTCATGTCAAATTTAACTAAACATATAAAAATTTTAAGTGGCAACTAATAAATCCCCATGTCAAATCTTTTTTAACAAAATTCACAAATAGATTATAAAAATTGAACCATCATAAATGTCTTCTGTAGAAAGTTTTATGGGAAATTGAAATTTCTACATTATTCTGTTTAATCATATCTCTCGAACTTTACTGCTGAGAGCAGCAGACAAATCTCAAATAACTGCTATGAAAACAATATCACAATTCAAGTTGGACATAGCAGCATTCCATTAATCTTTAATCATCCACAAATGTCAACCGTCCAGGCCCTTCATTCTTCATCCATCTCCGGTATCGCTTCCACCGAGGGTCATTTGCCAATTTTTTCTTTAATTCTTCCTCTTGTTCCTGCTTGTAGACCTATGAGTATAAATAATAAAAGAGACTTTATGATACAAAGACAAACCCATGCTGTTGTGTATATGGAGTGTCTAGTTTTCCAATACAACATCAAGTGAACGTGCGGATTTGCTTTCTGGAGACTGACTTAAATCAAAGTACTTCCACACCCCGTGTCAGAAAAACAAACTGCACAAGAGCTACAACTTCTCTGTTTATTTCTGTGATGGGCTCTTGCAATGTAGACCAGGCTGGTCTGGATCCTGCTAAGCAATTCAGACTGACTTTGAATTCACAGTCCTCCTGCCTCAGTCTTTCCAATGTCTAAGATTATACAGCACCATGCTTGGATCTGGCTTGAATTACTATTTTTTTCCCTTTCAGATGTTTTACTTAACCAAGGGATAAATTGGCTCTACATATATATTTGCCTCTAAATTGAATTTACATCTACTTTTCAAAGATAATCAGCTTCTTTTTCTTAAAGACACAAATAAAGTTGTATAAATCACAAAGGTTAAGAATCAAGAATTTCTAGTACTTCAAGCTTTAGTCAAGCAAAACTACATGGACAATTTCTTACAGCCAAGTTAATTTTTAAAAAGTATTGCTTCCCAACCTAGTCGCCCCTCAACTGAAGAATGGATAAAGAAAACATGGTACATTTACACAATGGAATCTTGAAATTTGCAGGCGAATGGATGGAACTGGAAGAAACCATCCTGAGTGAGGTAACCCAGTCACAAAAAGACAAACACGGTATGTACTCACTCATATATGGATTTTAGACACAGGGCAAAGGATTACCAGCCTACAATCCACACTGCCAGAGAAGGTAGGAAACAAGGAGGACCCTGAGAGACATACATGGTCCCCTGGAGAAGGGGAATAGGACAAGATCTCCTGAGCAAATTGGAAGCATTGGGGGAGGGGAGATGGAGTTAGGAGAAAGAGAAGGGGAGAAGAGGAGGGAAGAGGAGGATATGAGGGAGCAGGAAGATTGAGTTGGGGGCAGAATAGCAGAGAGCAAAAAAAGAGATACCACAATAGAGGGAACCATTATAGGTTTAAAGAGAAATCTCACCTAGGGAAAATGTCCTGAGATATACAAGGATGATCCCAACTAACAACTTAAGCAATAGTGGAGAGGCTACCTTAAATGCCCTTCCCTGATAATGAGATTGATGACTACCTTACATGCCATTCTAGAGCTTTCATCCAGTAGCTGATGGAAGCAGAAGCAAACACCCATGGCTAAACACTGAGCAGAACTCCTGAAATCCAGTTGCAGAGAGGGAGGAGTGGTGAGCAAAGGGGTGAAGACCAGGCTGGAGAAACCCACAGAAAGAGCTGACCTGAACAAGGCGGAGCTCATGCACCCCAGTCTGATAGATGGGAAACCAGCATAAGACTGATCCAGACCCCCTGAAAGTGGGTGTTAGGAGGACTGGGCAGTCTATGGGGCCTCTGGTAGTGGATCAGTATTTATCCCTAGTGTACGAATGGACTTTGGGAGCCCATTCCACACAGAGGGATACGCTCTCAGCCTAGACACATGGGAGAGGGTCTAGGCCCTGCTCCAAATATGACAGACTTTAAGAAGGAAGGCCTCACCCTCCCTGGGAAGCAGAAAGGGGATGGAATAGGGAGTTGGGGGGGGGGCAGGGGAGAAGGACAGGGAACTAGGATTGACATGTAAAACAAGCTTGTTTCAAATTTAAATTTAAAAAAGGGGGGGGGGAGTATTGCTTCCAAATAAAAGTAATGACTAAGAAAACCTTGTGCAATATAATAATTCAGCCCAATGCAATAATCTAAAAAGATAGGGTTTAAAGCAAAAAACTTCAAAAAAAAAAGTTGTGCATGTGTATGTGGATGGCAGTAGTGTGCGTATGTGTGTTTGTAAATATGGATGTTTACGTGTATATAGAACGCAGAGGCCCAGGGCTGATGGAGATGTCTTTTCTCCAGTATCCCCAGCTTTTAAAACAGGGTCTCTTCTTGAACCCTGAGCTCATGGATCTGGCTGGCTGGCTGGCTGGCCAATGAGCATTAGGGATCCACCTGTCTCCACCAAGCCCAGTTTTTCATGTAGTTTCTGGGAACCCAAGAAATTCGTCATGCATGTGAGCCAAGGACTTTACCTAGAGAGGCTCTCCATTCCTTCAAATAGTTTTAAGAGCTAAATAATAGCACATTTTGGGATAATTTACACATAGGAATATATTTATTTGCTAACATCTGGCAACTCCTGGTAATTTTACTGTCAATAAAGTAAATGGAGTTGACTACAAAACAATGTAACATCTAACATATCTTAAATTTCTGAAGAATATTTCTGTGTGCTCAGTGCTTATATTCATTACATTAGCCAATGAATTGTATCCAGAGCCTAGGATAATGAGACTGCTAGAGCCTTCAGCATTGTGTCTAGATTGCTGAGCACATCGAAGTAATTTCTGTAGCTGACAAAGTAGACGGTAACAATAAAATGTCTCAGCTTTAAAGATATTACAGCAAGTTGATTTAAATAAAAAGCAAACAACATTCCAAAATTCAGTAGTACTACTCAAGAATTCTATGCTTAATGGTAATTTTTTTTCTGTCTTGTTTTTTGGAAAGGAACAAATTTAATTAGTATAAACAACAGAAAGCCATCTTCACAGCCTATGTACACATCATTCCTCTGCAGTTTGACAAGCTAGACTACTCTTTTACCAGGATTAACTGATTAGAGTATTTGAAGGACAGCTTCAAAAACTTTTAAGTTAAAAACCCATTGTCCCACTATAAAATAGTCATACTTTCAAGTAAAGTAGGGCCGGCATTCCTCCCTTCAGGCTGGGACTTCAGAGTGTGAGGAGGCACTTTTGCAGTGTGACCCCTCACCACTGTGGACCTGCAGGGAGATTCCACTCTTCTGGCCGCACCCACCACTCACCTCGTAATTCTCCTTTATCCAAAGCTCCCGCTTAAGAAACGTTTCTTTCTGATGGTCCTCCAGGCTGTCAAACTGAGACTGGGACATCTTCATAGACTTGCGAATGAGGTAGAGTCTCTCCTCCTCCCCGTATTCTTTGCCTTTGATGTTAAAGTTATAGACCCACCGGCAGTACCAAGCTATGTATGAGCACAGGTGAAAAGGGGCGAGGAGGGCTTGAAACAGGAGGAGGTCACGCACTTGGGGTTTCTGGTAGCCCCCCTTTATGTCTATCTTACTTTTTATAATGTTCTTTATTATGTTCTCCTCCTCATCACGGATTTCTTCTTTGGATTTCTTATTTTTCCCTTTCTCTTTGGCTTTTTTGAGCAGTCCTTGCTCCTTGGCGATCTCTGTTGCCTGGATGCGGTATTTGGGCACTGTGGCAAGGTAGCTGATTGCTTTATTGTAGCTATTCCACCAGCTGAAATACTAAAACACAAAATAAGTCATTCTATTAGCAAAGTCTATCAAAAAAGAAAGCAGCAGCAATAATCCTGGAGAATGCCAATCCCCAACAAACCCAGCTAACTAAAGCTAAGGCTCTCAGCCAGGTGTGGAGATTCACATCTGTAGCCCCAGCACCTGGCAGGAGGACATGACCTCAAAAATCTTACTTTATTAGTAAACACCTCCCCTTCCTTCTGTTTACCAGAGGGAGATTGAGCTTCGTAACAGCTAATAAGACATTTGCTTTAAAATTTCACAGGGTGTTACCTCAGGCAACTTTATTAATACTTTTTATCTCTTTCCTAATTATCTACATATCTAACAGGAATACTTATTCGGGACACAAAGCCTCAAGTATATTTGAATTCTAGTCATTTGGCAAGAGAAAATTCACTTACTTCAAAAATATATTCACCCTCAAAAGGTTTAACTCTCATACAGCACATCGATGCTTTAGTTCCCATACTAATAATATTCTGGAATCTACTAGAAACAGAAGAGAGAGAGGGGAAGGGCAATACTAATTTCAGCTGAAATAAACTGAAATATGCCACCTCAGTGTTTAGTAAGAGTTTTTTGTTATCTACCTGAATATTGCTCTTAGAGAAGCATTTTTCAAGGCTGGGGACATGGCTGAAAGGTTCAGAATGTTGACCTTAAAGAATACCTGGGTTTAGTACCCAGCACACACAACCATCTCTAATTCCAGCTTCAGGAAATCGACCACCCTATTCTGGCCTCCACAGACACTAGGCCCACAGGTGATTACACACACATACACACACAGGCAAACACCAATATACATAAAATAAAAAACTTTAAAAGTAACTCCCAAACTTGCCAGCTTCTTTCTTCCTAGTCATGTGTTCTTTTCTCTAAATGAGCATGAGAAGTGTAGTTAGTTTAAGAATAACAGGGAAGACGTCACTCAGGCTGAACTTAAGATTCCTGTGGTATTTAAAACCACAAAGAGTTGGTGTATTTCTCTGAAGACATTGGTTTTCTAACGGAGCAGCAGCTCCTTCTGGGCGTGCAGAGCTGTGTGGGGTATTTGGGACTGCTAAAGGCAAGCACTGCTGGAATCAGCCAATGGAAAGGCAGCCTTATTAGGCCATGAGAAGGGTGTTCTTAACTTTTCCAATTTTATGGGAAGTCACTGAAGTACTCTAAAAGTACATGATATGCTGTGGTTGTTGTGTGGATACAAATGCTCTTAAGAGAGAGGTGAGAAGAAATAAATAGGTCTGGAGGATTTTTGTAGCTATGCAATGGTATTGTATTTGATGTGGCTTGAATGGAAATGGTTCCTGTAACTTCAGGTGTTTGGGAGCGTCTGAAACACCTGGGATGTGGAGCCTTGCTAGAGGACATACAATCTGAGAACTTAGAGCCTCACTCCATTTCCAGGTTGCTCCCTCTAGTATGACAAAATGTGATCAGCCAGCTTCCTCCTCAGGCTACTTTCCTCACCATCATAGACACCCTCTGGAACTCTAAGCCAGAACGATGACTTTTTTCTTTCTTTCTTTTCTTTTTTTTTTCTTTTTTCGGTTTTTTGAGACAGGGTTGCTCTGTGTACCAATCCTAGCTGTCATGGAACTCACTCTGTACTCGGGGCTAGCCTTGAACTCACAGAGATCTGCCTGCTTCTGCCTCCTAAGTGCTGGGATTATTGACATGTGACACCATGCCGTTTTTCTTCCTTCTATAAATTGTTTCTGACATGGTATTTTATCACAACAACAGAAAAGTAACTGATAGAATAGTCACCACTAGTTTTTACACTCCCTGATGACAATGCTGGGGTTCTTGCGGAAGGGTATGCTCTACCTGTAGTAGATATTTGTACGAAAATATCCTTATGTAATATAGCACCATGTACAATAAATACATACAATGAAAAAAATCCCAGAATGAGTATTTTTCAAGTGTAAAAAAATGAATCTCAACTGGAAGAAAAACTTATAAAATGTACTTAGAATACAGATTTAATGGCCACACAAGTACACAGAAACACATATCTATATTTATGAATACACACCTGAAACATTGAAATGGCACACACACTGACCAAAATCACCACCCTCACATCCACTTTCGGGGCTAGGCGCCTGCTGTAGTAGTGATAGTAATGGCTATAGTATTCTTCTGGGTGATCCAGCATGTAGTCATAATCTTTCCGTGTCTCTTCATCCTGTAAAGTGAGGGATAGTCTATTTCATATGACATTTCACCAAGAGCTTCAGTTTATAATCTGCTAGTTGAGAATTCCATAATTATGGAAGATACAAATAAAATGTTAAATTAAGAAAACTTCCCAATATACACCTTGTTTTCAGGACTTTTACATTAGGTATAGACACAATGAAAACATTCCTTCAGTATTTTCAGTATTCTTGGAAAACCCAACACTTTGGCAATAGTTGACCCTTAGTTAATGCTATAGTAGAAGTTCCTGTAACATCAGGGTATTCTGATACCTGTCCAAAAACACCACCAGAGGGGGGAAAAAAATAAGCCATATATATATATATATATATATATGGCTTATCTCCTATTTATCTTCACAGTCAGGTTCCAGCTTTGCCTAGAAATTTTTTCTGCTGAAAGCAAAGACAGCAAAAAGCAGATGAAGCCAGTCTAAGTTGAACCATGTCAAAAAAACACTAAGACATCACTTAGCACAACACCAAGGTCAATGTAATATCTAGCTTCGTGAGCCTCATTTTCTTTCTTTGTAAAAACAAATACTACCTATCATAATATTTTCCATGGTTGTTCTGAATATCAATGACATACACTGTGCAGTAACATGCTACAGATGTGTAGTACTCATTGTTTTAACACATAAAAAAGGTAACCTATCTTTCTTATTAATATAACTTATTTCCAAAGAATTCTGAAAGCTTTAGGGGATGCTATATATTTCATTTGTTTGTTTGCTTATGATGTATTTATGATGTGTGGGGTGTGCATACACACATTTGTGTATGTGAGTACAGGCATGTGAGAGCCACAGTGTAGGTGTAGAGGTCAGAGGACAGTGTCAGATGTCAGTCCTCACTGTACACCCCATTTGAGGCAGGGTCTTCTTGTTCACTGCTGTATATACCCAGCACAAGAACTTGCAAGCTTCCAGAGGGGTTCTTCTGTCACTACCTGCCCTCTCACCAGAAGCACTGGCAGGGCAGATGCACAGTATCACACCCAGCTTTATGTGGGTTCTGAGGATCTTAACTCGGGTCATCATGCTTACACACAGCAAATACTTTTATCTACCTCTCCCAGCATCGCCCCACCATAATATTTTTCTTAAAAAGATAAATTTCTTAAAGATTCTTTAAAGGGTCTAGAGAGATGGCTCAGCAGTTAAGAACACTGGCTGTTCTTCCAGAGGTCCTGAGTTCAATTCCCAGGAACCACATGGTGACTTATAACCATTTGTAATAAAATCTGGTGCTCTCTTCTGACCTTCAGGCATACATGCAGGCAGAACACTGTATACATAATAAGTAAATAAATCTAAAAAAAAAAAAAAAGATTTAAAAATCTTTTATCTTTTTATGTAATCAATTTTTAACAGATAAATGGTAACATAGCTACCTTGGAGGTATTAAAGTTTTTATCTTAAACTTAATTTTCAACTTGTCTCATTTTACAAAAATGGTAAATTAAGACCAAGACAAATTCTTTGATCTTTATATGTTATACAATAGAAACCACTGCAAAAAAAAATAATAATAACCTAAGAGGATGTCCTTTTAGTTTAAACTGTTCAATGATTATCAAGATGTACCTTCTGAGTAGCAGATACTTCAAAATCCAACCCAGTACCTGTCACTGTGGACAGATGCTATGAGGTCTATTTAGAGCCTGCCTGCTTTTGAGTCCTTCAATATGTACCATCTTATAATTAAAATAAAAAGTTGGCTGATGATAAAACCTTTCCTGTGTTTATTAAAATCATCATGCATTTTTCATTAAAAACTTTGAACTTTAGTAAGAGTACTCAATGACAGTTATCCTCTATTCATTATTAAAGTATGTCTCACTCTCACTAGCATACGGAAGTTAGTATTTAGTTAGATCTGAGTATCTTTAAACATGGTATGGCACTATGTAAAGGGATGAAGAACTGTCTGTTAAATAAGCAGGAGTGGGCTGAGGCTGATATGGTCTTCAAATTCATTCCTTGTGTGTTCTCCTTTGTAAAAAGGGTTTTTTATGCTATCAATCCACTATCCCTTATCAAGTTCTAACCTAGGAAGGGTCCATCTCTGCAGCAGTCACACAGGCAGCTCTAAACACTAACATCCACATCTCTAGAGGTATCTCAGCATTTTAAGATATCTTTTTAGAATTTCTCTCTTTTTCCACCATGTTTTTGGTTCTGGTGGCTAATTTTATAGAAATGTCCTCATAAGACCTGAAACTTAGCTTTAACCCAAGCTTCCAACCTTTTGAAATGTAGAGTCAAGACTCTTTTTGCTCCAACTAGATTGCATATAATTTAGAACCAGATGCCACACTGAAGTCAGATTCCTATTGCCCTCTACCATCAGTCTCCACAGATCCCTTTGTCCAGCTTGTTTGTCACACCCTAGTTGAGGACACTGACACCTGACATATGAGCACCAATATGTTATATGCCTATTCACTCTTCTCCCCCCCCCTCCCCCGCAGTGAGGTTCACATTCTGTGAACACAGATGCCACTCCTGCTCAAGCATCACATCCAGACCTTCCCCAAGACCACCATCTTCTCAAAGTTTCTGGACCTATGACATCAGGTACTGGACTCCCCTAAGAAGGTGGTGGCTAAAGCTCCAGCAGCAAGTCCACATCCACCCTAGTGTCCATCTGTCTAGATGTAGTCATAGCTTCCTGACACTATAAAAGTCACAGGGTCAAATCTGACTTCTCTTAGGATGCTTTCTCTTTCTAAGGGACACCATAAATGTATGTGCCTATTTTGGATTTTAGAGGTTAAAAAAAAGTTGATTACCTTCTTATGTTACAGCATTTATTCATTTTACTTAATTTTCACTGTAAAACCATTTTGTTCCTCTATAAAATGAAAACAATCTTTGAGCTGAAGCAGTAATGAAACTAAAACTAAAAAGTTATTCAAAGTTGGTACAAAGTAGAAAAGGAGTGCTCTCAAAGACTAAGGTCAAAATCCTATTCTTTAGTAACCTACAAAGTTTAAGACACACAGATATCAAGAATAATTAGCCAAAGACAGAATAAGAATGATTATATTTCTTTTAGGGGGCCATTTAAAGAGCTAAAATACATTATTACTGTAATAGCACCTTTTCCCCCTCTGAAACAACTTAGAACTGAGGTTCATAGGTTTGTTTTCCTCCTTCTTCCTTTTTTTTGCGGGGGGTTTGAGACAGGGTTTCTCTGTATAGCTTTGGAATCTATCCTGGAACTCACTTTGTAGGTCAGGCTGGCCTCGAACTCACAGAGATCCACCTGCCTCTGCCTCCTGAGTGCTGGGTTTAAAGGCGTGTGCCACCACTGCCCAGCTGGTTTTTCATTTTTATTTTAAATGTTTTCCACAGTCAAAGTTAAATTTCCTTGGCATGCAACAAGACCCCAGCCCTGGCCCAAACTCACCTATCTAGCAATTCCTCACCACTTCTCTTACCTACAGCAAACACAGCAACTTTCTGGTTTTGGTATGCTCTTTCAATGCAGTGTAGCTTCTCTTTCAACACATAACCCTGTCTAATCCGAAGCATCTTCCCTTCTTTTAACCTTATGAGCTCCTAAAAGTTATGAATGCTACTGCTTCAAACAACCTTTCATTGGGATGGGAACTGAACCCAGGCCCTTGAGCATGCTAAGCAAGTACTCTACCACTGAACTAGAATCCCTTACCCAGGAACACTCTTATCACACTTAATGCCTATTCATTATAGCACTTATCACATTGGATTTTTGTTTTGTTTTGTTTTTGTTTTTGTCCTTGAATGAGAATTTGTTAGAAGGTAGGTAGGTAGTAGGGTGTTCATTAATCTTTATATTCCCAGGGCCTAGCTCAGTGCCTGGCAGTCAGTATATCATTTCAAAGCTATGTGAAATGTTTTAAGAGTTTTTCTTCCTATACATTGCTTTCCAGCCACAAAGGTCTGAACTCACCAGCAAGGCTAGATGAGTGATTATGTCACAAAACCCTCAGCTCAACAGAAATGACTGACTTTACAGCTTAAGAAAATATGCTAATGTGGCTAAAACAGCTTGAACAGTTTAATATCTTACCTTTCAATAAGGTAGTACTTTTTCTTTCAGCAATATTGTGGATCTTAAGGTCCCAGGGTCAGGAGATTCCAACTTCTTTCCAAAATCAAAACCTTTATACTTGTTTCTTCCTCTCTGTCCTGAGCCTTGACAAGCACGGCAATATACTCCTTGTTTCTAATTTCTACAGGAGTAAGTGGTGCTTCTGCTGGTGTCCATCCATTCCCAATCCTCTTGGGCATATGCAGGAGGACTGGAACACAACCACCAATATCTAGATCAAAAGTGAACAAAGGAAACCCACAAGCAAAGCAGCCCTTCCTTCTCTTGTGAAAATGATCACCCCCTCCCTCCCCAGAGCAAACATTATTTCCTTGGCTTTAAATAAGCTACACATTGTTTACTTTCAACAAGCCCGAATTGCAATATAGATATTGCAGTCAGTTTTTCATCAAACCGCTCTATTATACAGAATAAGGAAATGACTTTCTATGGTAAAGGCCAGGAATCAAGAATATATGGAAATGTAATCATATTTTTCATTCTTAAAAATACATATTCATTTCATTAACACACACACACACACACACACAATATGATGCTTCAGAAATAAAACCTGTTACCTCACATTTTTTTTTCCAGGTCATTACATCCTGCTAAGGAGCAAGAAAATTCACTGCTATCAGTTTTATGTTCTTTCTTGTTCCCTGTCCTCTAGTCAGCCATAAGTACAACTATCTTATGTGCCTTCTCAACTATCTTATATGCCCCAGCGACACTTCTACATCCCCTGGCCCCTCCTACTTTCAACTATATCTTGAACATTTTCTAAATGTAACATAAATATCTCCAATTCAGCAAGCTCAAAAGCAAGTTTGCTCTTTCATGTCTTAGCTAATAGTATCAAGTTGTACCCATCACCCCAGTTTTAAAAAATCTTCCTCTT